ATGGAAATAGACTTATAAAATTAAAGTTTTATTACAATTTTTTCATGAAAATCCTTTTTTGAACTGAAATGAGCTCACCTACACACACTGAACTCGATTCTTCTTCCCTGTGAGGCTCCTCTTGGTGCATTTACGCTTGTGAGTAGCATCTGGAATGTCTCTCTGAAGCATCCAACAGTAGTCTGCCATCATTGTAATGCTCCATTTTCTTTGGTATCACCTTTCCATCTCTTTAATGTCTTGGTGGAATCGTTCACCTTGTTCCTCACTCACAGCTCCCAAATTTTCAGGAAAGTAGTCAAGGTGGGACTGGAGGAAATGCACTTTCAAACTCATCAGGCAACCTAAAGTTTAAAATGCTTTCAGCATTCGTCCGACGATCTTTGTTATTGCCTTAAAATTTCTGTACGACTTCTTTAACCATTAGCCGCCCGGCCAATGGCCGTTTGGAGGCTTTAAAAGTGTTGCTGCATTCTGGGTGCACGCCATTTGGCGTGCTCCCGCACATGCGCAGTTTGCGCTAATGCAGAGCGGCGCAGCAGCGCAATCTGTCACCGGCCGTGTACCTCGGACACGGCCGATGACAGATCCGAGTACCGGCTCCCGTTGCTGGTACCATGTGACCTGCTGTGACCAATCACAGCAGGTCACATGACAGTTGTATACAATTGATGGCTTCATTCTTGCCATCCATTGTATACTAGTGCCTAGCTGTGAATGGTCACAGCTAATCACATGCACATGTCATGGGATTAGCTGTGACCAAATCACAGCTAAGCACAAAAAAAAAAAAAAAAAAAGCTGAAAGAATCGATTTCATTCAGGTAAATGCTTGCTTATAGCAAAGTAATTCTTTGCTATAAGCAAATTGTGTAAAAAAAAAATACTGATCACTTCCCCAAAGTAGTACAATGTTACTATGGTAACATTGTACTACTTTGGTCATAGTAAAATATGAAAAACAAATCTTAAAAAAAATAAAAAAAATGTAATAAAAAATTAAAAATAATAAAAAAAAAAATATATATATATATATATTTTTTTTTTTTCATACTGTCACCAGTCAGTGTCCCTGCTCACCGCCATGCCAGTTATATGATGACACTGTACTGCACTGGTGACAGTATGTAAAAAAAAAAATAGTGAAAAAATAATTTTTTTAATTTTTTCATTTTCCAAAAAATTATGACAAAAAAAATACAACTTCAAAAAACTCACCATGCCTCTTATGAAGTACGTTGGACTGTCTACTCTGCAAAAAGGGGTCATTTGGGGATATCTGTACTATTCTGACATTCCTGGACCTCAAGAAATTAGATTGGCTGTCAGTACTTCAGGATTGATCAATATTCAGATCTATACCATAGTTTGTGAACTCTATAACTTTCCTACAAACTAAATAATACATCCTAATTTGGGTTATTTTCACCAAAGACATGTACCAGAATACATCTCGGCCTAAATTTATGAAGAACAATTATTTATTTGTAAACTTTTATAACAGAAACAAAGAAAAATGTGTTTTTTTTTCAAAATGTTTGGTCTTTTTTTTGTTAATTTAGCAAAAAATAAAAACCCAGCGGTGATTAAATACCACCAAAAGAAAGCTCTAGTTGTGTGAAGAAAATGATAAAATTTTTGTTTGGGTACAGTGTTGTATGACCGCGCAATTGTCATTCAAAGTGTGAGAGCGCTGAAACCTGAAAAATGGCCTGGGCAGGAAGGTGTAAAATTGAACGGTATTGAAATGGTTAAATGCAATCCACCCTTCTTTTTGAAGATCCGTCATGGTATTGACAAAACTCTTGATCAACTATAAGCCTTCTATAAGCCTTCTGGTCCGACGAACACACCTTCCTTCAATTTTGCCTCTGACAGGCCTGCAAACTTGGTGACCAAGTATTTGAAGTATTCTCCATCTCTTGGAAGTGATTTTACGAATTGCTTCATCAATCCCAATTTTATGTGGAGAGGTGGTAGAAGAACTTTATGGGAAGGTTCCAAAGTTTCTCAGAGGACATTTTTTTCATCGACTGTTAGCACCCTCAGCTGCCAACTCTTCTTGGTCCAGTGATTTTGTCGGTCTCGACTGTCCCATAGATACAGAAAACAAGGGTATTTGGTATCCCACCCACTGGATTCTTCAGGAAAGATAAACCCCTTCTACCATTAGAAGCACAGACTCAGGGCTGAGGCTTACACATACATCATGCTGCTGAGTATCCCAGTAGTCAGACATGTCACTCAGAGCAGCACTTGTATTCGCAACTTTTGCAGGGGGGGAGGGGCAGAGATTGTTTACCTGCAAATAACAACAAAGGGCCTGAAGAGAACTAGGGAAATGAGGAAATAGAATTTTTTTCCCTAAAACTTGCTAAATCTGACCATCAGATTTACAGTGCTATATTTTTTTTTACAAAACTCGGACAACCCCTTTAAGGTTTTTTTGGCATTTTATATCTTAAATGCACTTATGTGAATTAATTAATAGTAATTTGGACTTAAAATTTGGTTAAAAACCCATAATATAAAAAAAAAATACCAAAAATTAAAAACGTGATAAATTTGAAGACAATTTTGCATTTTGTGGCAAATCATGACGTCTAGGAGTTTTTTCAATATTTTTGTTTTTGTTTTCAACACACCAAAATACATGGAAATAAGATGAAAATAATCAAACAGCTTTTTAGTCACAGACCTGTGCAATCAGTGTAAAAAAAAACAAAAACAAATCTTCATCACCCCCCCACAAGTAGAACAGTGTCACTATGGTGACACTGTACTGCTAGGGTGACAGTATGTAAAAAAAAACATAAATAATAATATAAACAAATAAAAAAATGTAAAAAAAATGTTTAAAAATTATGGTTTGGTTATAAACTAATTTGGGTTATTTTTTTTTTTACTAAAAAGATAATGGAATAACTTTTGGCCAAGATTTATGATGAAATACTATTTATTTGCAAACTTTTATAAGAAAAACACTTTTTTTCAAAATTTTTGGATTTTTTAATTTACATAGCAAAAAAAAAAAAATAAAAATCCCAGTGGTGAATAAATACCACCAAAATAAAGCTTTATCTGTCTCAAAAAATGCTAAAAAATTCATATGGGTACAGTGTTGCATGACCGCGCAAATTGTCATTCAAAGTGTGATAGCACTGAAAGCTGAAAATTGGCCTGGACAGGAAGGGGGTATAAGTGTCTAGACTGGAAGTGGTTAATAAAATAACTCAAACTATTTTCGTAGCTTTTTTTTGTGAATGCCAACAGTTTTTTTTTTTAAATGCTGTGCGGTATCTTACCACCAAGATACCGCTTAGTGAATTGTCCCCAAATTACTTTAAATATCATGTCTGGGGGGGGTCCCCTTAAACTAACTGCAAGGTTGCACATCTGTACAGTGTACAGAACCTGCTGCAGCACAACTGACATTTGTTTTGAATTACATTTTTTTTGGGGAAAAAAAACAGTAATTTTTTTTAAGTGCAGGGGGTTCCTCCTAAAAGCCATACCAGGCCCTTTAGGCCTGGTAGGACATTTAAGAGGAACCCCACCTGAACAAATGGGGGAAAAATTCATGGGGTCCCCCATAAATTCCCTTGATCTGAGCACAGGCCAGGAGGGGGGGGGGGATGAGCACCCTGCCCGCTCCTGACCCGTACCAGGCCACATGCCTTCAACCTGGGGGAGGTGGTTTGGGGGGACAAGGGCCTCTTCCCCACAACCCTGAGCTGTGGTTGTTGGGGTCTCTGGAGGGGGGTGACCTATCGGAATCTGGAAGCCCTCTTTAACAAGGGGGCCCCCAGCCTCCCCGTCATAGATGTAATCCATCATCAATCACCAGTGGTGTCACGATGAGGCTGACTTGCCGAAATAAAAAAATTGTGCATTGGAGAGCGAAAATTGGGCGTGGTGAGCGAACAGCGAACGTGGTGGGCGAACGGCCAATGTTTGAGTTGAACTTTTGTTTGACTCGAACATCAAAGACATCCCTACTAAACATTCCAAGTATTAAAAGTCTTGCAATGCAGATGGGCACTGCAGTTTAAAGGTGGCAGTTTTCATCTGCAGGCTGAAGACTTTTATTTTCCAATAAGGCTCTATTCACACTAGTGTGATTTCAGATGAAACTTGACTCGCATAGATTCGCATGACAGTGGAAATCATATTGTTTTCAATGGCGCCCGTTCACACCAATGTAACTCAGTACAGTGCGATTTTGGAAAAGGTTCCTGTCCTACTTTGGTGAGATTCCAGCATGATTTTGGCCACATAAATATGCAAACCTTATCAAAGTTGCATCTACATTGCACTTCATAATCGCACTGAAATTCAGATCAAAATCAGATTGCAGCATTGTGCACCTACATCTACAGTAGCTTGTATGTGATCACTATGTCATAGCTGATGCTGATTGTATGGGGACACATTGATTACCACCCCCTTTGAGGCTAGGTTCACATCTGTGCGGGTGGTGCTGCTGCGGGTCTGCACGAAAATCTGTGCAGCCGCATCACCCACACAGAGGAATGCGGACCCGCAGACGGGTGCCATTAGTTCTAATGGCACGCCGCCCGCTCTGTAAAACACAACTGAGGTTCCCGTGAGGGCTGCGTTTTCAGAAGAAGTGCAGGGACTTCTCTGTGTGTCACGGGAGCCCATTCAAATGAATGGGCTCTTGTGACCGCGCAAAACGTGGCCCACACGGCCGCATATATGTGAACCGCGGGTTACAAGCTTAACTCAAACTCTATAGCAATCAGACCTGCATGTCTAGTTATGCATTGACCCCATAATCCTATAATGCTCTGTTTTCACGATTCCAAAGCAAGACATAATGTGAATTGATGTATTCATATTTTGATCAAAATCTCAGAGAGTAATCAATTTCTTTTATTTCAGACTTACATAAGTTTATGAATAAATAAATCATTGACCTCCCTAAATTGTAAATTTAATGCTAAAAACACCCTCCTATCCTGTTGTATTACTACATAGAGAGCAGGGGAGGACTGACCATTTGGAAACTCGGGCACTGTCCGAGGGCCCGGGGTCAGTAGGGGGCCCAATGAGATGCCCCTGGTACCTTTTTCATAGGCTTTTTTGAGTTTGGGCAAGGACACAGGGGCCCCATGATCCCCTATTGCCCGGAGGCCCCATGAGTTGTCAGTCCTCCCCTGATAGAGAGCCATGTTAATCATTGACATTGCTACATTCATTCTAATACATTCATTTAACTGTACTTTACACTGTAGCTGTGTAGTTATAGTTTTCAGATGCCATTCTGGTGTGTGGTACATTTTGCTAGTAGATTTCAGATATTCAGCATTTGATTTAGCGATAGGAGATGTGAGAAAATCTAAGTCTCTAGGAGCATTTAAACTAAGCCTGTGAAACTAGCACTTACTGTACATAAGACTCCAGAGGGAGAGGCAGCTTTCAGGAAGACTGCGTTTATCTTCTGGTTCTCATCCACACCCATTCTCATAAAAGAACACCTTGTGACTTGGCTGTCATTTCAGATTTTATATTCCTAGCTTGTCCTTGCATTAAACAGGAAATGTTGTTGTCTGAAACTTAAAATACCAAACTTATTTTCTCAATGGAAAGAAAATTTTTTTTATGAAGTCCAATGTGTAGAAAAAAAAGAATTGATTGTCAGATCAGCCAGGTTTCAGTATCCAACAGCTTTTTAGGTATTCTGCCAAGGAGGATGTGGGCTGGGCCTACTTACCCATGCACGTGGGGGTATCTTAGGCTTGTGTGTGCTTGCTCATCATTGCCCGGGAACATTATGGTGGCATTCTAACTTAGAGATGAGCCGTACACTGTGTGCAGTAGTTAAAGCGGAGCTCCACCCAAAAGGGGAAGTTCCGCTTTAAGCCTTAGTCCCCCGCTCCCCATTAAGGATTGGCACATTTGGGGAGCGGGTACCCAAAATGAACAGGTACCCACTCTCACTTCCGCTGCAATCGCTTAGGCGATCAGAAGCAGAAGTTGTCCTCCCCCCCCCTCCTTCCCTGTAGTCTTCTGGGACACATGACAGGTCCCAGAAGACTATGGGGCCATTCACAAAGCACAACGCTTCTTGCACATACACAGTGGGCACCCGGCTGTGAAGCCGCAAGCTGTCACAGCTGGGTGCCCACACTGAAGATGCCGGTGCCAGGAGAGAAGACGGCCGGTGAAACCAGCGGTGGTGAAGACACCACTGGACCGAGGGACAGGTAAGTAACTGTATTTTAAAAGTCAGCAGCTACAGGTTTTGTAGCTGCTGACTTTTATTTTTTTTTCTTTAGGTTGAACTCCGCTTTAACTCTACAGTGTCCCTCTGTGAAGCTTACTGTTCTGTGTTACTACATGCCTTGCCTTTGAGTTGCATTTACGATGAACACCACTGAGCCTATCCATACACTCATCCAGCGCACCTCTGCCACCTCACTCCCAGTGACAGAATGGGGTCCTGTCATGCATATAGCGCGGACCTCATGCATGTACTTAACCACCTCTCTGCTCTCCCATATCATGTGACCAGGCCATGGTGCAGGTATGATCCCAGATACTTTTAGGGGAACCAACTGCTAGAGAGGAAGCCAGATCACCAATGCCCTGTAGGACCTTTTGCCTACACCAGGTACCATGCTTATTGATAGCCTGCTATTCGCCTTCCACTAGTTCTTGGGTACACGTGGCAACTGCTCACTTACTCCACACCTTCTGCCAAGTTAACCCTTCATAGTGGCCTTGCTTCTGTACCCTATGTGCTATACAGGCCCTGTTCTTTCATACGTCAGAAACCATCATGAACCCTTTGGAGTAACTTCAGACCAGGTTTGAAACAGGTAACAGCTTACTGAAGATTTACCAACAGAGTTAAACAGCACACATGCAACAGAGTCCAGCTGTAATGCAGGCTGCCGGGTTCATAACTTCCAGAGAAACAAAGTCCATTCAGAAAAGTCCAGTGATGGTAGGTTCCTAGCTCAGGGAGAATCCCACCATGGTGACCCGGATGGGGGCCATGTGCTCCAGTAAGGCTTGTGTTGCAGCAGTGCTTCCTCGGAAATCCCATGCGGAAGAGAGCAAGCTTTGGGCCCTCCCCTGAATTTATGTGGCTTACAGCAGGGGACAGGAATCAGAAAGCTTGGGAAAAGAATCTAGACACATTTAACCCCTTCTAAACCCTGGCAGCCTGCAACTGTCTGTATATCTACACAGAGCAATGAATACAACAGCAGAAGTACATACAATGACACCCCGCTTACAAGGAGATACTTCCAAAATCTGCAGATTACTGCTAATGTTAGGGCTCGTTCACACTAGGCTGTTTTGCCAACGCTTGCCAAACGCCCCGATAGCGTTTGGCAAGCGTTGGTCCGGTGTTTGCGGAGCGTTTTTAACGCTCGGCAAACGCTCCGCAAATGCCGCATGCGCGGTTTAGCGGCGGTTGCTAGGCGTTTGCCGAGCGTTAATAACGCCCCACAAACGCCTATAATGCATTTGAGTGGTGTTACCGCTCCGCAAACGCCCCGCAACCGCGTCGCAACCGCACCGCAAACGCCGGCCGGGCGTTTGCGGAGCGGCACCATAGACGAGAATAGGAGGCTTCAAAGCCTCCTGACTCGACCAGAGGCGTCCGTTTTGCCGCGACGCAACGCAAACGCTCCTGTTAGAACAGCACCATGTGCTGTAATGTGCAGAGTTGGCAGAGGCGTTTGGGAAGCGGTAAAAACGCTTCCCAAATGCCTCTCTGCCGCCTGCACACAAGGCTAGTGTGAACGTAGCCTTAGTAATATGAAATCTGGTGCTTTCTACAAATTATAGTTTTAGGAGTCACATGGGCAAAAAAAAATGCTGTGTATAGATGCATACAGCAGTTTTGTACGCATCTAAATGCAGTACTATAGTAAACAATCCAAACGCATAGTTGCGTCTACATACGGAAATGTGTGCTGCATTTAGCTAAGCACAAAAAAGTAGGACACAACTGCAGATTTTATGCACTTACATGCAAAAATGTGAGTACTTAGTTTTATTTTTTTTTATTTCAACAATGAAGAATATGTTTAGTTTTAAGACATGCACTTTAGGGTCCTTTCACGCGGGCATACCATTTTTCCATCAGTTCAGTCCAGGGGCGGACTGACCATTTGGAAACTCGGGCACTGCCCGAGGGCTCTGGGTCAGTATGGGGCCCCATGAGATGCCCCTGGTACCTTTTTCATAGGCTTTTTTGAGTTTGGGCAAGGACACAGGGGTCCCATGATCCCCTATTGCCCGGAGGCCCCATGAGTTGTCAGTCCGCCCCTGGTTCAGTCCCTCTTTTTTTTCCTTCAAAATAGGAGCTAAACAAATCAAGACTACTTTTTACCTCCGTTTTCATATCCCTTTTTTCATTAGTTTGTCATCAGTTTGTCCTGAGTTTTTACTTCAGTTTTTACATCCTTTACCAATGTAAAAACAGATGCAAAAATGGAAGGTATATCCGTTTACATCTGTTTTGCGTCCATTCCAGGTTTTTTTACGGAAGAAAAATAGGGTTTTCTTTCGTTAAAAAAAAACGGATGTAAATGGGCGATCATCCGTTTACATTCACTAGTCCATAGAAATACATGGGTGTCCGTTTTTCATCCATAAACGGACAGATGAAAAACAGACATACGGAACGCTTGTGTAAAAGAGCCCTTACACAGGATCGTGTAGCTCTGCTAGCAAGAACCTTTCTTTTATGCAGAAAATACGCCTCTAAATGCATGTGTGAATGAGCTCAACCTCAATGTTCACAGGTGCTAATGTCCACTCTGAATAAATCTGATATGAAAGAAAGCTTAACTCTATATACAGATCCTGATGTGACAATGGCCAGGCCAGCTAACGGGTCCTTTCGGCACCAGCCTGTAATTAGGGAGATGCAATACTAGCTATAAACTTCTTTTACATTTTTTTTTTTCCATTCACTTCTACTGGGTAGGAGTGATCAGAAACAGGCAAAGTGAGAACACAAATTGCTCCCCCTTCCCCTCTTTTACTTGTACCGCAGGCAATGTACACTAAAAAAACAAGGGAAATAAGTTTGTTGGCAGAAGACTTAAAAGTCTCCAAGCAATTATTTTGTTTGAAGCTATAGTTCCATTTCATTTAAACTGTTTCCATTTAAGGCTACAACATGTGTGTATTATAATAATCCCATTTACATTGGATCTTTCTGCCAGGAGCTGGTAGAAAAATCCAGCATTAAAAAATGCTGTCTGGTATATATTTGCACACATTGCACATGTGCATGTATGGTATTTGTAGGCATATGAACATAATTTCATTCTAGTAGCTAGAATATACAGTATGTTTTAGCCACTAGAAGTGAAATTACACACATATGCTTGTTTCTGCAAATATATGTGCAAATTATGCCAGTACACTTCTCCCTAAATGCAGGTTTGGGGTTTTTTTTTGTATACCTCTAAGGGTAATTGCACATAGTACTCATGTACCTCCTAGCGATTACGGGAACCTGGATCCAGCCCACCTCCCCTGCTGCACTCTCCTACGGAGGTCTCACCTGGACCCACTCACCCAGGCATAACGGTCGTAAAGGTGGTGGGGTTGGTCTGCTCCTGTCACCGGAGAGCACCTTCCCAGTCCTCCCAAACCCCCCCTCCCTATCCTTCTCCTCCTTCGAAGTCCACTGCGTCCGACTATTCTCCCCAACCCCCCTGAAGATTGCTGTGATATACCGGCCTCCTGGATCCATACCCCGCTTCCTGGATGACTTTTCCTCCTGGCTACCCTTCTTCCTCTCCTCTGAGCTACCCACCATCATCCTTGGGGATTTCAACATCCCTGTCAACCTCGACAACCCGGACACATCCCATCTCCTCCACTTAACCTCCTCCTTTGCACTTGCACAGTGCATACAATCCACCAACCACTCCAACGGTAATATTCTTGATCTTGTCTTCTCCAACCGCTGCGCTCCCCACAACCTCACTAACACCCCCTTTCCTCTCTCTGACCACAACCTGATTACCTTCTCTATCTCCTCGTCGTCCAACGCCTACCCCTCCAAATGTCACACTACTACCAGCCGTAACCTCCGCAACCTTAACCCTGCCCCCCTCCACTCTGCAGCTGATCAACTCCATGACAGCATCCTCCTCCTGTCCTGCCCCGACTTGGCTATGACTGCCTACAACAATGCGCTGTCAACAGCCCTTGACTCACTAGCGCCTTTATCCACACGCAACATCAGACCCCGACTGATCACACCAAAACCCTCAAACGACACAGGCGTGCCCTGGAGCGACTATGGCGCAAAACAAAATCCCAACAAGCCTTCACCCGCTACAAATCTGCCTTCCACACCTACACCTCCTCCCTCCACGCAGCCAAACAAGCCTACTTCCTGACCCTCATCAAGACCCTCTCCTCCAATCCTCGCCGACTCTTCTCCACCTTCAACTCTCTACTCTCTCCACCCCCACCTCCACCCAGCACCTCACTCACTGCCCTTGAGATTGCCAATCACTTAAAAAACAAGATTGACACAATTCGCAAGGACATTGCCGCAACTCACACGCCCTCTCAACCCGTCCCCTCTCACACAGCTACCCCCTCATCCCCCCTCGACATAACCCGCAGGGACTTCGTCGCTGCTCAAACTCCCTCCAACTCCCTCCAACTCAGCTACCCCCTCATCACCCCTCTCCCCCACGGCCCCACCACTGCTCTGACCTACACTTCCACCCCACCCTACATTCCTCATACTGAAGCTCCCCCAACACTCCGCACCTTTGACCTTACTACCATCAAGAAAGTCTCCAAGATCCTCTCTGATGCCCGCCTCACCACCTGCTCCCTCGACCCTATACCCTCACAACTGCTACGACCTCCCTCCCCCTCCATCCTACGCTCCCTCACCCACATCTTCAATTTCTCCCTCTCCTCAGGCACTTTCCCCTCCCCTCTGAAACATGCACACATCACCCCCATACTTAAAAAGCCCTCCCTGGACCCCAATGACCCGAACAACCTCAGACCCATCTCCCTGCTCCCATTTACATCTAAACTCCTCGAGCGCCTCGTCTACACCCGGCTATGCTCTCACCTCAACGACAACCACCTCCTTGATCCCCTACAGTCTGGCTTCCGTCCCCTACACTCCACCGAAACCGCCTTACTCAAACTCTCCAACGACCTTCTAACCGCCAAAGCTAATGGCCACTATTCAGTGCTCCTACTCCTTGACCTCTCTGCGGCCTTCGACACAGTCGACCACCCCCTCCTCCTCAAAAAAACTACACTCCCTCGGCCTCAGAGATTCTGCTCTCTCCTGGCTCTCATCCTACCTGTCACAACGCTCCTTCAGCGTTACCTATAATGCTACCACCTCCCCCACACTCCCCCTCTCTGTTGGGGTCCCTCAAGGCTCTGTCCTTGGGCCCCTTCTCTTCTCCATCTACACCTCCTCCCTTGGCCAACTCATACACTCTCACGGCTTCAACTACCACCTCTATGCCGACGACACACAAATCTATCTCTCAACCCCCCCACCTCACCCCCTCAGTCTCTGCCCGAATCACACACCTACTGAGCGACATATCAGACTGGATGTCGCTCCACTTCCTTAAACTGAACCTCTCCAAAACCGAGTTTCTTGTCTTCCCCCCAGCCCGGACACCACCACCCCCCATTGACTTCTCCATCACATCCAACAACGCCACCATCCAACCCGCCCTGCAGGCCAGAGTACTTGGTGTCATTCTGGACTCCAACCTATCCTTCCAGCCCCAAGTCCAATCTTTAACAAACTCGTGCAGACTCCACCTCTGCAACATCACCAAAATCCGCACGTTCCTAACCCCAGAAACCACTAAACAGCTCATCCACTCCCTCATCATATCACGACTCGACTACTGCAACTCCCTCCTCACTGGCCTGCCTCGCCGCTGGCTATCCCCGCTTCAGTCGATCCTGAATACGGCTGCCAGACTCATTCACCTTTCCAACCGCTCCAGTTCCGCCACCCCCCTCTGCCAATCCCTCCACTGGCTTCCGATTGCGCAACGGATCAAATTCAAAATCCTAACACTGATGTACAAAGCTGTCCACCATACTGCCCCGAACTACATCACTGACCTAATATCCAAGTACCGCCCAGCACGCACACTCCGCTCCTCACAAGACCTCCTTCTCTCTAGTTCCCTGGTCTCCTCCTCCCATGCCTGCCTCCAGGACTTCTCCAGGGTGTCACCCATCCTCTGGAACTCCCTGCCCCAACCCATCAGATTATCACCTACTCTCCTCTCCTTTAGGCGCACCCTGAAAACCCATCTCTTCAGGGAAGCCTACCCCACCCCCTGCTAACTTGCCGACCTCCTTCACTCTTCCTACCACTCCATCCCCCACAGCTATCTCCTCCTGTACCACTATCCCCTCCCTCCTAGATTGTAAGCTCGAAAGAGCAGGGCCCACAATCCCCTCATGTTTTGCATTGTATTGGTATTGTTCTGTCACATGTTCTGTCCCCCTTTGTAATGTACAGCGCTGAGCGAACTATTGGCGCTTTATAAATACTGTAAAATAATAATAATGTATGAAAATCAGATTCTTTGCAGAAAATTTCTGCAGAAAACATGAAAATGGGCAATATAGTAAATATGTTTATTTCTATGTTTTTATACATATGCACGCACAGACGTACACGTGCAACATATTGTCCAGCAACACAGATTTTTTTTTTTATTTTTTTCCCCTAATGATCTTCTTTTTTTTTTTTTTTTTTTTTTTTTTTTTAACAATTGGTTTTTATTCAGAAAGAAAAAGCAGAACATTTATTTATTTATTATAGGTACTTATATAGCGTTGTCAAATTACGCAGCGCTTTACATATATATATTGTACATTCACATCAGTCCCTAACCCTCAAGGGGTGTACAATCTAAGGCAGGGCTTGAAATTTCCTCTTCACCGCCTTGGGGGACACGAGGCCAGCTCTACACCGCCTTGGGGGACATGAGGCCCGCTCTACACCGCCTTGGGGGACATGAGGCCCGCTCTACACCGCCTTGGGGGATATGAGAAAAAAGGTATTACACAGGCATCAGAAAAAGGGTATTACACAAGTCTTGGTCCTGCTGTACAACGAAAAACATTACAAATCTTGATGTGAAACTGGCTTCCTACTGCTTTCTGGCATCCAAAAAATTATTTTTTGGTGGGTTTTTTTCTTAATTGAATAGATTGCAATCCACACATAGCCATTGGTTGCAGAGCTGCACCAGATTTGTCACTCT